TAAAGTAATAATTGTAAAAACATTTTTTTGAATTTCAAGATTAATTTTTCTTTTTTCTTCTTCACTTTTTCTTAAATCTCTTTTATAATTATCATGTTCTTTAGTAATTTTTTAATTCTTTTTTAATTTAATCATAATCACTATGATTAGTAATATATGCATTATATAAAGTTTTATACCTTTCTTTTTCATCCTTAGCTTTATTATATAGTTCTTTTTATGTTTCTGCTTCTTTATATTTTCTTTTACTGTTTCATAATTAATATCTTCACTTATTAAAGGTTTTAATTTATCTGCTAAATTTGTTGCTAAAGTATCAGTATTCAATTTTTTATTAATATCTTCAAGTTGTTTTTTTATTTCTTCATGTAAAGTATTATTTTCTTGTTTTAATCTTGTATATGCACTGGTTAATTCTCCAAATTTTTTAACCGCAAGGTCTCTTTGTGATGACCTAATTTTTATTAATAAAAATTTTTTTTTAAAAAAAAATAAAAAAAATAAAATATTTTTTTTAAAAAAAATAAACATATATTTTAATATTTTATACAATAAAGATCGAAACTATAAAAAAAATTTAAAATAAAAAAACAAAAACAATAATTAATATATCATTAAATAAAATTAAGTAAATCTTGTTGGGGTGGTTTGTCTGTTAACAACGATTCTACATCCGAAACAATACTTAGTAAAAAATTCTGAACTTTGGCTAATGCTTCTGTATATGCTTCTTTTGTCTTTTTTTTAATTTCTTTATAATCAACCCTCCTTCTTTAATATTAATATCATCAAGTTTATTATTTATTTTTAAAATTTCATCATCAAGATTGTTTTAACAGAATCATTTAACCTTTTAATTGCATTTTTCTAATGTTCATTTTCTTAAATTAAACTTTGATTTTGTTTATAAAAAGCTTCTTTTAAACAATTAAATTTAGCAATTGCTTTATTATGTATTTGATTATTATTATTTGTTAGTGGATCAGTTACAGGTTGTTTAGGTTGTTCAGTTTGTTCACTCATTTTTTTAAAAAAATTATCTTTATTTTTTTTTAAAAAAAATATCTTTATTTTTTTTGTAAAAAATATTTATTTTTTTTAAATTCGTTAAAAAATGATTTTTTTTTAAAAAAAAATAAACTTATTTTAAATACATTTTTTAAATTTATTTTCTCTTTTTTCTTTATCACAATAAAATATTTCACAAATAGTTAAAATATATAATACTGTATAAATTAACCCGATATTTGTATAAACCCAAAATATTAAAGTTCCAAAAACAATAGCATGAAGCTATCGATTATAATCAATCATACAGATCTCATATAATTCTAACCAAAATAATACTGCAACAAAAATACGCAATAATTGTACAGATAATACTATTATAGCATTTTTCATAAAGATATAATGCAAGCCT